ATGCATATCCTTTCAAGAAGGGAGTTTGGTTGTGCGTATCCGCCTCGCGCCTGAATGAGATCGAAGACTTCAAGACGCATCTTCTCAAGACAACTGATCAAGCAAGAAAAGCCCAGTTCCTCCATGCTGGCATTTTTTTATGCATTTGTAGTTTCTTTTCTGTTAATTACTATTTGCTTTTAGACATTGTTGTTATTTAATGGTATTGCTAATGTGATAATCATGCATGTTTTGATCAAATCCATTCGTATTCACTCACAGTATTCTCATTTATTGCAAAAATATTTCACTTCCTTTATCGCACTGCTGTTTTGAGGGAGGATGACGAAAACGAAATACCCATAATTGCTGATAAGTATGCTTTTGGATAAAATTGCACCGATGATGTACAGGCATTGCTTCAAATTCCCAAACACTGAAGAGATAAGGAGTTAGTCCCTAGTTAACCACTTCGAGCCTAGAAGTAGGAGTTTCCTTCGGATTTCTAAACCCTTATACTTAACCTGGGGCATGGGTAGTATTCAGTTAACTTGATTACACACTCGAATCACGAAAGAAAACCCAAATACAAGATGGTTGTTCATCAATAACCCTTGACATGGCAGTCACCATATTTCAAAAAATTCAAAAGCCTGCTAAGTCGAACACCTCAAAATGAGACTTAGGCAAAAATCAAGGCAATCCCGATGGATCTGACAAGCAAAATCAGTCCATGCAAAAGTTAGGGATCAAAAACAAAACCAAAAAGAGGTCCTCAAACCCTCAACAAAAACAAAATAAGATTCAGTGGCCACCCAAATCAAGGGGTTACTGACATCCATCAAAATAAGATGGCTGCCATTTCAAGCAAACTTTGAACCATCAAGTTTACATCGTCAAGCAGGTGCAAAATTAACTGAACATAGGTATGGAGATCATTACGAAGAAGGGGTGGGTACAAATAATACTTTGAGCCTAATATCCTTTGTTTATATAACTGTGAACCAGACCACGATACAACCCTCAAAAGACCTAATTGAGGCAAGGTTTATTCTGAAAGCATACTACAGCAAGGTTGCGTAAACTGACTCCTACATATTTGCTAATTTTATGTATTGATGTCATATTCTTGCTATATCTTTCACACTAATTAAATCAGCATTGCATTTGGATTAATAGTCCACTCGTCACACATTTTCACATCATTCCCAATAATTGATATTTTCAAAACTTACATGAATGTCGCATTAAAATTACCATTTTTTGAATGGATAATTTTAAACGGCAAATCAGTACTTGACATTATAGAAATTCCAACAAAGTGCAGTCAAAGAGGAACTTGATCGCTCATTGGTGTTGACCTGAATCAAGACTTTCTCATAACCCTACGAATCTGGGGCAAGTCCTTTTGAGGTTTAAACCGGGGCAAACCACTACAAGGTCCAGACTCTGGGGCAAGTGGGTTCAACCCATATCCTGGTATAATCATCGCCAAAGTTCTCATCCCAGAAGAAAATCCTTCAAATACCCCGCAGACTGGGGCAGACCATTTGAACTGGGGCAGATTAGCTGAACAGGGGCAATTTCCCTTCACGCTTTCAAAGTTGATCAAGATGACCACACCAGACACCAGTAATGGTTAGGGTCCATAAACGTCAAAAGCCTTGGGGCAGAGCAAAAGCATGACTAACACGCGTTGGTTAAGTCGTTACGCTTACGCAATCCATATGCATTGGTTGAGTCGCTACGCTAGCACGATTAACACGCATTGGTTAAGTTGCTACGCTCGGGCAGTCAACATGCTTTAGATAAGTCGCTACGCTCAACATTTGTAAGTCGTCATGACGTACCAGCTAGAAGCGAGTTTTTACAATAACAAAAATACCACTTCTGTAAAGGACCTAACTTGGGGCACCAAGAGTATCCGCATCTGTCTTCTGATCATGGCGTTGTCAGATACTGTGTATCGGGAAGTCAAATCACATAATAAAGTCCAATCTCGCTTGGCACATCCTTAAAGTCCAATCTTTTATTGGCAACTACAAAAAGCCACTTCTGTTGGCATCTTTAATATACCCTATAAAGTCCAGTCTTCATTGGCAAACAATAAAAGTCCAACTTCGATGGCATCCTCAATAACCAAAGTCCAATCCATTTGGCAAATACCAAATCCTGTCCCCGGCAGTATCCCAGCAGAAATTTATCCCCAGCATACCTGATCATTATCATAAGCATGGCATACGACATGATATCATTAGCACATGTATCTTGCACTCCCTAGTAGTTGCACTTTTTAGTTGCACATTTGTGCATCATAACGCATAGCATCGCCATCCCCATTAGCATTGCATAGCAACATAGCTGGATCCAAGATCAGTTTGCAAACATCTTGGCCAGACCTCCGGTGAAGTTGCCAGTAGTGAATATGAAAAGAGTTGTTACTCCGCGAGTTCGGGAATTCTAATCTCCAGCAAGTCATTTTTCAACCATGCAGTTGATAATGATAGTCCCCAGCGACCGTTGCTCTTATGGCTCCCCAAGCAGAGGTTATCATAAAAAGTTTTTTGAAGACTTTCCCCCACAGAGTTTGGACAATGTTGTTCCTCTAATAGGAATTTTAGCTCAACCATTACTCAGCAAATTTATCGCTCGAGATACTGCTTTGGTATCATCGAAGAGCCTTAATGGATAAGGTACTGCTTCGACCACCTGAAGAATCTCCAGTTTTGTTCGAGATACTGCTTTGGTATCATCGAAGAGCCTTAATGGATAAGGTACTGCTTCGACCACCCGAAGAATCTCAAGTTTTGTTCGAGATACTGCTTTGGTATCATCGAAGAACCTTAATGGATAAGGTGCTGCTTCGACCACCCGAAGAATCTTAAGTTTTGTTCGAGATACTACTTTGGTATCATCGAAGAGCCTTAATGGATAAGGTGTTGCTTCGACCACCCGAAGAATCTCAAGTTTTGTTCGAGATACTGCTTTGGTATCATCGAAGAACCTTATTGGATAAGGGACTGCCTCGACCACCCGAAGAATCTCAAGTGTTGTTCGAGATACTGCTTTGGTATCATCGAAGAGCCTTAATGGATAAGGTGCTGCTTCGACCACCCGAAGAATCTCAAGTTTTGATCAGAGATACTGCTTTGGTATCATCGAAGAACCTTATTGGATAAGGGACTGCTTCGACCACCCGAAGAATCTCAAGTTTTGATCAGAGATACTGCTTTGGTATCATCGAGGAACCTTACAGGATAAGGGACTGCTTCGACCACCCGAAGAATCTCAAGTTGTGATCAGAGATACTGCTTTGGTATCATCGAGGAACCTTACAGGATAAGGGACTGCTTCGACCACCCGAAGAATCTCAAGTTGTGATCAAAGATACTGCTTTGGTATCCTCGAGGAACCTTATTGGATAAGGGACTGCTTCGACCACCCGAAGAATCTCAAGTTTTGATCAGAGATACTGCTTTGGTATCATCGAGGAACCTCATTGGATAAGGGACTGCTTCGACCACTCGAAGAATCTCAAGTTGTGATCAGAGACACTGCTTTGGTATCATCGAAGAACCTTATTGGATAAGGGACTGCTTCGACGACCCGAAGAATCTCAAGTTGTGATCAGAGATACTGCTTTGGTATCATCGAAGAACCTTATAGGATAAGGGACTGCTTCGACCACCCGAAGAATCTCAAGTTTTGATCAGAGATACTGCTTTGGTATCATCGAAGAACCTTATTGGATAAGGGACTGCTTCGACCACCCGAAGAATCTCAAGTTTTGGTCAGAGATACTGCTTTGGTATCATCGAGGAACCTTATAGGATGAGGGACTGCTTTGACCACCCGAAGAATCTCAAGTTGTGATCAGAGATACTGCTTTGGTATCCTCGAGGAACCTTATTGGATAAGGGACTGCTTTGACCACCCGAAGAATCTCAAGTTTTGATCAGAGATACTGCTTTGGTATCATCGAGGAACCTTATTGGATAAGGGACTGCTTCGACCACCCGAAGAATCTCAAGTTGTGGTCAGAGATACTGCTTTGGTAACATTGAAGAACCTTAATGATTAAGGGACTGCTTCGACCACCCAGAGAATGTCAGGTTATCTCGTTCATATTTTGCATCCTACCACCCTGTTATGGTACATCTTATCTCTCTGCATTTTACTTGTCTGTCGGACAAATTTCGGGGTCTTCTTGTATCTAATTGACTTCCACCTCAAAATGAACGCCATACAACTGTTCATTCTCTCAGGTTCAAGACAATTAGATAGGGGCATCTGTCATACCCCAAATTTGTCCTACCTTTTTGAAAATTTTCATTTGCCCGACTTTATTTTTCAATTCGCATTGCTTTTACGGCGTAACGTATTTTTCGGCAAAAATAAACTCTTTCACCTTTTTAGCCCAATAAATTTGCACCACATGGCATATTTTTATTTATTATTATTTATGTTTTAACATTTTTATTATTAATTGATTAATTAGTTTTAATAGGATAGAATTATAATTATTTATTTATTTATTAGAGTGGAACTTTTTAATTAGGAATAGAATTTGTTTTCTTTATTAATTAAATTAGAATTAGTTTTTTTTTATTATTTAATTAAAATTAGTTAACATAGAAAGTAGAAAATAGATTTATTAGATTTATTATTCAGAAAAATTAAAAATTAAGAAAAAGAAAAATTGAAAAAGAATGAGAAAACACGTTGGATGTTGTTTGAAGTTTGAGGAACTTGGATATATAAATAGGGAACCCTATACTGTTGAGGGATCCCCAATTCTGAAGGGTAACCCTAGCCGCAAATGCCATCGCCCTAAACCTTCACTTAACCTACAATCATCTCCCCTAACAAACAAACTCATTCTCTATAGCCGTCGGACTCTTCATCTTCTTCACCGGCAAACCACCATAAACTTTCTTCCTCATTCATCCTTATACACATTCGCTCAATCTTCTCTGGTTTTCGCATTTGATCAACTCTGAATGGCATTCTTCCACCACAAGATGTACCGAGAATCAGAACATACTCGTGAGTCTGATTTGAAATACTACCAGCGTAGATATTTCAATGAGTTGAAAGATGATTACTATAAGCTCGAAATCTCTGACTCGACATTTAGGTGTCCGTTCTGTTTCAACAAGGATTATTATTCTCTGAGTGAGCTTTTGAGACATGCTTCAAGGATTGCTGGTGACTTGCATGGCGAGACTGTGAAGGAAATCGCTAAGCACTCTGCCCTTGAAAGGTATCTTGACTTTAGAATTTCTGAAGATAAGTCGCATGATAGGAATGTTGATACTGATAAGTCACCTCGAGTGAATGTTTCTGATAGTAAGTCACTTAGTGTGAGTATTGATAAGGCACAATCAGTTAATGCGAATACTGTTAAGGATCGGTCATGTGATGTGGGTATTGCTAAGAATAAGTCACCCACTGATGTTGTGAATACTGCTGAAGATGAGTTTGTCTGGCCTTGGATGGTAGTTCTGGCAAACAATGTTACAAACTATGACCCGAAGTTTGGAAAGTATATAGGTAAGAGTCATAAGAAAATTAAGGATGATCTGTACGCTAAAGGGTTTCAGCCACTGAAAGTTACTGGACTGTGGAATAATAAAGGGCAAACACCGTTTGTGATTGTTGAATTTGGAAAAGAATGGGATGGTTTCAACAATGCTTTGAAGCTAGAAAGCAGTTTTGAAGTAGAACATTGTGGTAAGAGAGATTACTTGGGTTTAAGGGAGCGAGGAGATAAACTCTTTGGGTGGATGGCACGTAGAAATGATTATAATTACAGGGATATTGTGGGAAAACACCTCCGGGAAAATGGGGATTTGAAAACTGTTTCTGGAAAATAAGCTGAGGATAATAGGAAAGCCTTGCAGCTTGTATCTGGTTTGGCTAACACTTTAAAGCAGAAGAACAAAGAATTGGAACAAACAACAAGCAAGTATGATGAGGCTAATGTGTTTCTAAGAAAAGTGATGGATCAAAAAGAGGAGATGCTTGAACATTTTAACAAAGGTGATGCAGATTAGTTCTCGGCGCCGATGCTCTGCACCGTTATATTCAGAGCTGAAACAACAAGAGCTCGAATCCCATCCTTGCAACAGCTTTGATTGACATGTATTCGAAATGTGGATGTCTGGAATCGGCTTTAGCTGTTTTTGATGGTATTTATGATAAGGATGTTGGAGCTTGGAATGCGATGATTTCTGGTCTGGCTTTGAATGGTGATGCCGGGAAATCGTTGAAGTTGTTTCAACAAATGGTTGTTTGTGGAAGTCGCCCTAATGAGACTACCTTTGTGGCTATCTTTACTGCTTGTATGCACGCAAGGATGGTTCAAGAAGGTCTTTAGTTATTTGAAGAGATGAGTGGAACATACAGAGTTGAGCCGTGTGCGGAGCATTATGCGTGTGTTGTGGACCTTTTGTCTAGGGCTGGCATGGTAGTGGAAGCCGAGAGGTTTATTGAGGAGAAGATGGGTGGATTTGCAGCTGGCGATGCTAATGTGTGGGGTGCTATACTGAATGCGTGTAGCATTCATAAGAATATTAATGTTGGGAACAGAGTGTGGAAAAAGCTGATTGATATGGGAATAGCTGATTGTGGTACTCATGTTCTTACATATAACATATATGGAGAAGCTGAACGAGAGGATTGCAAAGCTGTCTGGTGGTGTGGCTGTCTTACAGGTTGGTGCACAAACTGAGACAGAACTTAAGGAAAAGAAATTGAGAGTTGAAGGCGCCCTTAATGCTACAAAGGACATAACAACAGTAACAACAACCTTTCAACCAACGATAAAAGCCACGGATCTGCGACAACACCGCCAGCTTCGATGCGCTCTCACTCGGTTGCGCAACGTCGTTACGATTCAAACCCCGTTTCACAATTTATTACTTTATTATCTATTGTGATTTCATTGTAGGGGCTTCGAGAATCCAATCGAAGGCGAACCGACAATTGAACCAGGTCCAGCTCCTCGTGCTCAACTCAGACGACTTCTCCTGTTCGAGCAAGCTTATCTCAATGGTTTACCTTCCGCTAATATGTACGAGAAAAGATATATGCATCGTGATGTGGTTACACATGTTGCTGTTTCGGCTGCTGAGTTTTTCATTACTGGAAGTGCTGATGGGCATTTGAAGTTTTGGAAGAAAATGCCTATTGGTATTGAGTTGGCAAAACACTTCAGATCTCATCTTGGTCATATTGAAGGTCTAGCTCTAGGCAGTGCTATGTTCTACTGATATCCATCAGTATGTATTATGTTGCCGATTCACCGGAAGGAGGAGAGCATGGTTTATGTATACACTTAGCTTTTGTTTTTTTTTTTCAATTCTTGTTTTGGTGTCTAGTACTGCTTGGTTGTGCTTTCATTTATATGCAGGTTAAGAGTTGATTAGCGATTTGGTATCAATTCGGTTTCGACGCAACACCCCGAATTCCATCTTTTAGTGGCAACTTCGAACAATAACAGTTCAAGCTCATTACGAAATCGGCTTGTCTTCTTGAAGTTTGTTGAGTAGCAGCAGCCCTCTGAAATATCAGCAGCAAGTCAGCTGTGACATCGACATCTTCTGCAACAACACGACGGTTGCGTCGATGCAAACAATATTGATGTTATGGGAAGTAACTTTGGGTAATCGATATCGTGATTGAGTTTTACTATGTATTGCTGATTGTATTATGATGATTGTTGTCTTAATAAATGGTTCAGTTATTCGATGTTGCATATTGAATGGCCTTGACTTAACATTTCTAACATTGTATGTTGTGAAGGTTTCATAAATGTCGCAGTACGTTTTGGATTAATTTCTTGCAGTAGCCATTTTTTTTGCTGCATATAATAAACTGTGAGGTTGATGGCTCACAACGAATCAATGACTTTGAACAACACCATAATCGGAGCTTTCGGTTTGACTCCGACATCTCGTAGCAAACTCCTCAACAGAGCATTAGCAACAACTCGATTGGAAAAACGACAGCCACTGAGTTTTAGCTCCAGTTCCCCATTTCGCAACAGCCTCATGGTTCATATCATAGCAACATTGTTTTCGCTTTGGTTCTAGGAAGGAAACCAGGTTGATGCAAACGAGGAAAACCGAAGCTGTTCAATCCGTTCAAGATTCGTTTATAGCTGCAACTTCCGCGTTTCGGTTTTGAAGCATTCTGGTAGCTACAACCATGCTCTATCTCAGTAGCAGTTAGCAAGCATACGCTAGCTCTTGAGACATCTCGATTCCACGACAGATTGAAGGAAGGATTTAGGTTGATTTCGTATTTACGGTGGTTCACGGTTAGCGCGAAGTGTCGCAGTCCCGACGTAAGTGGCTTTTGTTTTCAACCGCAACACAACAACTCAACTATAATCCACCAGAATTTGCACAATTGCATTCGAGTTTGACGGCAACAACAACAACATTCCATTTGTCCGTGAACGAATTCATAACACAAACTATCAAATTCTGCAGCAGCTCGCATTTCGGTAATCCTCAAACTGTTTTTACATTTAGGCCAACTTTACTATATTGATTCTCCGTGTCTTAGTCTAAACCTGTAAATGCTATAGAATCGATTTCTTGTTTTGGTTGATGTTTTTGTTGATTCTGTAAAAATTTCGGTATTGTGATAAGGTTAGACAAATGTCATTCTTGTTGCTGCTAAATTCTATGTGTCTGCATTGCGGTTTCGGTCTCTGTAATATAGCATTGTGCCCATTTTCCCTCTTTAAAATGCTACTGCACTTTGAATCTTTCTATTAGGATAGGGTGGACATTTTGTTCAAGTTTATGCTGGGATTAACTTCTGGCATTCAATATTCCGGTTACGTTATTCATTTTTTAAAAAAGTTGATTGTTGTTTCAATATGAAGGTTATTATGCTGAGTTTTAACACTGCTGAATGCACATTGATGATCTCGCTTGATATCACATTGTTGTGTCATTTCCCTGCTGCGTTTTTGCACTCTGAAAGTTCTTAAACTTTGTGCATATTAAGTTGTCTTGGCTGTGCTTTTCTGTTCATATTTTAGTTCAAAAGTTGGGTTTGAGTTATGTTATTGTTGTGTATAGAAGGATGAATTCTTTTCTATTTATGTTTGTTTCTAAATGTTTGAATTTGCAATTGGTGATGTTGAAGAATGGTAGCAACTTTCGGTAATGTCATTCCTTCGATGTTTATCGGTGTTTCGAATATGTTCTGCCTTGGCCTGTTTTCTTTTTTGTATTTCAGTTGGAACTCTGCCTACTAATGACACCGAGAAGCTTCAACTTGCGTCAATCATCCGACATTGATATAGCTGCTGCATAACGAGTTGCTTTTCGGTAAAACTTCGATGCCAAGCAGCTTTTCCAAAACAGTAACGAGGAAAAGAGTTCCCTCTCATTTTGTTTAACTGCATGCTTAATTTAATTAAAGTTGAAGTGGATGGTATATCACACTAACAAAAAGTGTCTTCACTTTTGGGAAGGGGTTTATTGTTACATGTTCACTCTTATTTTGATTTGGTTTTCTTTTGAGTTTAGAATAACAGGTTGCTGCAAATACCTGTTCTCATATCTGGTAAGATAACATAGGCTTGTAGCATAAAGTTATGCGAGGATGGTTCCAACTTGATTGGAATGAATTGGCAATTTGAATCCCATTATCCTACTGCATGGATATTTGGTTTTAACGTATGTTATCAAAGTGGCTGCATACATGTCACTTATATTTACTTATAATTTTATACTTATTTTTGTTATTTTTAGTATTCTATTTTATTAATTGATTTATATGGATTAGTTAATTAATAAGTAAAACTAAAATAATTTTCAAGGTCATTTTATCAATTATTTTCAATGGCGAATAAATTTCGATCAATTTCGTTCTCAAACTAATTTTCAACTATCTTCTGCTTAATTTTAAAACGTTTTCGAAATCATTTTTCATTCATTTTGTGAATATTCAAATAATTTTCTCAAATCATTTTCAAAGTTATTTGATTGAAGGAGAGTTTAGAGTCTTCTATTCTCTCTCCCAGTTCACTTGCCCAATTGTTTAAGTGTGAGGAGTCTTCTTCATACTTGAACAGTTGTTTTCCTGAAAACCCTTAAGTTGTTTCACGATCAATTTCAAATCTCGATTCACATTGAGTATTTTCTCAAATCAAACTTAAAATACTTAATAACTACTCAAATACAATTTCAATAAAAGATGAAAAAGGGAGAGTTCCAAGTCTTTGGTTCTCTCTCCCAATTGTTTGGGTCCGAGAAGTCTTTCTTAAGCTCGAACAATTGTCTTCTAAAAACCATAAACAAATTCAAATATATTTTCTTAAATACATAGATGAAAAAGAGAGAGCTCCAAGTCTTTGGTTCACTCTCCCGATTATTTAAAATTCAAGAAGTCTTTCTTGAGCTTGGAGTAGTCGTCATCCGATTAATATACTCTAATCATACTAAGTATCTTTCATAATATTAGATGAGAAAAGGAGAGAGCTCCAAGTCTTTGGTTCACTCTTCCGATTATTTGAGGTCCGAGAAGTCTTTCTTAAGCTTCGAGTAATCGTCATCCGATTAACCCACTTGAACCACATCTTATCCTTTTGCAATTGAAGTTGAAAAAGAGAGAGTTCCAAGTCTTTGGTTCACTCTCCCGATTACTTGGGTCCGAGAAGTCTTTCTTAAGCTTCAAGTAATCGTCATCCGATCCATTTACTCGAACCATACCCGATTCCTTCACATCTGAGGTTGAAAAAGAGAGAGCTCCAAGTCTTTGGTTCACTCTCCCGATTACTTGGGCCCGAGAAGCCTTTCTTAAGCTTCAGGTAATCGTCACCTCTAGCTAAACATATGATACATTTAACCAA